CTGAATTACTAATATGTTATATGTCTTGGCGTCCTGAATAAATGCCTTAATGAGCACATGCTGCAAGATATAGGCCATCTGGGTCAGTATAATGGAGTAACCAGATCAAGTGAAAGAGTGGTTTCGGTTAATTTTGCCAAGTTCCTCAATATGTTATGTGCCTCGGCATCCTAAGCAAATGCCTCAATATAAAAGGCCCAAAACTCAACGAGTTCCATAATATAGGACGTAAAAGTCGGAATAATCTATTGGTTATACTGGAATATATGCTTTAAGTGAAAGAGCGGGTTCGATTAATTTGCTGATTTTTTTATGTTAAATATTTCAATAGTCACATGCCCCCAACCTCAACAGGTCCCAAGATATAGGCCGTCCAAGTCGGCATAATGGAGTATCGGCACTACTCAATACCTGCTTTAAGTGGAAGAGTGGTTTAGGTCAATTTCGTTGAATTACTCATATGTTATGTGTCTTCTCGTCATGACTAAATTCCTCAATAAGCACATGCCCCAAGACACAACGGGTCCCAAGATATAGGCCGTCTGAGTCAGTCCTACTCGAATATCTGCTTCAAGTAAAATAGTGGTCTTAGTTAATTTTCCCAAATTTTTCAATATGTTATGTACCTCGGCATCCTAAACAAATGCCTTGATAGTGACAAGCTCCAAAATTCAGTGTCCCAAGTCGGTATAATGGGATGTCGGATTTACTTAGATATCTGCTCTATCTAGAAGAGTAGTTTCGGTTAATATGATATGAATAATTTTTGAAATGTCATGTATCGCGTCATCCTGAACAAATGTCTCAAAGATCACATACAATTGAACCACCTCCCTTTTCCATTGTGGTTGGAAGAATTAGACGCAATTAAGTTTAATAGCAGGTAGGCCGACGAATCTGTTAACCGGCTACGACTTAAAAAGAGCGATGACAGTGACAGCTCCTAGTGTATTTTTCTATATAAGGGAGACTGCTATAGTCAAAATCACAAAGATGACTATTACGTCATATCATAAATTGTACTGAAGTAATCAATGGACGTAGATCGATGAAAAAAACACGATGTCAGGAACATAATGACAACAACACACATACACACACACACACACACTGATTATTTTATTTTCATTTTATTTCATGGTTTGAGTGATACCTTAATAATAATTTCAGTGGGGAGTTTTTGTTTTGAAAAAAAAAATGAGTAGAATACCTTAAGACAGGGTCACCAAAGACCAAAATATTATTCGAAAACAACCTAACCTGCTTTAACATAACCCAACTTATCATCTTTCCAATATGATCGATCATGCAACATGAAAACATCGTCTATCTTTGTTGGATACATGCAAATTAGCAATACAGTTTGTTTAGACAATAAAATTCTGTTTGTCTCTGTCTAACATATCAGAAACTTCATCAAAAATATTCACAAATCGCTGTCGTTAGTCTTTACTACAGACTAAAGTGATAACGTAATCGTCATCTTTCGTGATTTCGACTATACATGCGCAGCCCCACATTGATCGAATACATTGTTGTGAGAGGACATTTTTAGGTTAATCGTCACTTGTTGCAATCTACAAACAGTTCATTACTAAGTACTGTACAAGCATTTCCTGTTTAGTTTTCCACTGCATTATATACTTTTTGTTGGTCGTTTCTCATATTTCATAGTTAATCGCGTTATGTTTTTGGTCTCTCGTTTTTCGTTTTCGTTTTCCATTTTCTGTTTTGATTTTTCATACTGTTTTAATTTCGTTATTTTTAGCATTACGTGTAAAGTTTTAATTTGAGTTGTGCAGCTTGCATTTTATACTATAGCAGCGAGCATGGCGCAGCGCATGCCATGTTAAGTGTGTAAATCCAAAAGTGGAGGTTGCTATGAGGTACCGTGAAGAGCTGAACCACTCTGTTTTTGTGATAAACGATATATCACGGGTTTATTTTAACTGCGATTTATTACTTACACGGGACGGAGCGGCCTTGCAAAATCCCGAAAGTCTCAGGTTGGATATCCTTAGACAAAAATCCTCTGAAACATGTATGTTATATCATTTAAATTCAACTTTACTTTTAAAAAAATTTTATTTGAGGACAGTAGCTACTGTCCGTTACAAATTACAAGAGTCTCCCTCGGACCACAACTAGGATGACCTACTCGATTACCTCGCCGAACATCAATCACCCCGCTTCAGAGGTAGTTCTACTCGGTGATTTCAATGCCCATAATGAGCTTTGGTTGGGCTCAAACAAGACCGATGCAGCAGGTCGTGCAGTCGAAGCGTTCGCTCTTACTCAAGGGCTGACTCAGCTGAGCCCTACTTTTTCCCCACGTCTCGTCACACGCCAGTCGCCTGCTGGATCTCGTTCTGACCACGCATCCTGTCCCTCACAGCACTGCTGTCCTGTCGCCCCTGGGTAACTCAGACCACGGTGTTGTGGAGGTTAGGTTTCGGTCAGAACCCGCTGTGGCAGCAGAAACTCGTACAGGCCGCAAATCTTGGCATTACGGACATGCCGACTGGGAGGGGCTCAGAGACTTCTTCTCTAGCTTTTCTTGGAGAGATGTCTGTTTCACTGACGCGGATGCGTCGGCTGTCTGTTCTTCGATAACCGAAATTATCCACGTCGGAATTGAGGGATACATCCCTCACACAGTAAAAGTGCCTAAACCAGGGTCCAACGGCTGGTTTAACAAATCTTGTGACGCTGCTCGCCAGCAGAAGATCAAGGCACACAGAACCTTCTTACAAAACCCCACTGTAGAGAACAGATAAGCCGACGTCGAGTCCAGAAACAAATATAACGAAGTGGTTCGCAATGCCAAAAACCAGCACGATATAAAAGTTAGGCACAGGGTGATGTTGCAGCGCAATGGCAGTCGGTCTTTCTGGACGCTAGCCAAGCAGATTGAAAAGAACTTCTCACACAGTAGCCTTCCACCACTTGCGTGTCAGGATGGAACGATTGTATCCGACTCAAAGGCCAAGGCGGAAGTACTTGCCAAGATCTTTGCTGCCAACTCCACCATGGACGCCCCCCCGACGCCCAAGTGCCGTCAATCCAAAGGGTTCCCTACACTATGCAGGAGGTAACATTCAGGCACAAGACCGTAAGACGGGTGCTCTTGTGGCTCGCCATTAACAAAGCTTCTGATCCGGACTTGATGCCTGCCATTGAACTGAAGAGGTGTGCAGCGGAGCTTGCCCCAGTTCCTTCGCGTCTCTTCCAGATATCTTATGAATCCGACACCTTCCCAGAAAACTGGAAATTTGCTCATGTCCAACCCATCCCAAAAAAAGGATCTAAGTCCGACCCCTACAACTAGAGGTCTATAGCTCTGCTTTCTGTTATAAGTAAGGTGATGGAGAGGTGGATGAATCGCGAGCTTCTGGACTACCTCGAAAGTCACAGCTTGATTAGCGACAGGCAGTATGGTTTTCGGCACCAACGATCCACAGGGGATCTCCTAGCCTACGTCAGGCAATTGTGGAGTAAACTCATCCAGTCTTATGGTGTGGCTCATGTCGTTACTCTTGACATCATGAAGGAGTTCGATCAGCTGTGGCACGCTGCCCTCTTAAGCAAACTTCCATCCTATAGCCTTCCAGAAAAGCTTTGCAGATGGGTGGCTGACTTTATCTCTGGCCGCAAGATATCCGTCGTAATTGACTGGTTCTCCTCTTCATCCCACAAGGTCAACGCGGGTGTTCCCTAGGGATCGGTCTTGGCACCAACACTGTTTCTCTTACATATCAACGACCTCCTTTCCTGCACGAACAACCCAATCCGCAGCTTCGCTGATGACAGTACTCTACATGCAGGAATTCAGAGTGACAAGCGGATCTCTGCCGCTGTGCTGGAAAGAAGAAGACTTGCGACGACTTCCTCTCTGACAAGAGACCTGGAGGCTATCACTGCTTGGGGACGCAACAATCTTGCACAGTTCAACGCTTCCAAATCACAATACTGTACTTTGACGAACAAAAAGCGTCCTAGCGCTCATCCGGTTTCGATGGATGGCCGAGTTCTGCCAAAGAGCCATTCCTTTCGGCTAGTCGGAGTCCATATCATCGAGGACCTGATCTGGCACGAACACATCTCGCCAATAGCAGCAGCTGCTGGGAAAAAGCTAGGCTATTTGTTTAGGGCTAAGAAGTACTTTTCTCCGCATGACCGTCTCACTCTATACAAGGCCCAGATAAGGCCTAGCCTCGAGTATTGCTCACACGTTTGGGGTGCTGCCGCCCCGACTACATTACCCATGCTGGATGCTGTCCAGAGGAGGGCGGTCCGACTGATCGATGACTGTTCTCTAACAGACAGTCTCGAGACCCTTTCGCACCAGCGAGCCGTCGGCGATCTAGCTCTTTTCTACGGCTACACCAACGGGATTTGCTCCTCAGAGCTCTCTTCCATGATGCCGACACGCGACATTGTCTGTAGGTTAGATGTAGACGTCCTCTCGTCAAACAGCCATCTGGTATTTTTGTGAATCACACGGTTTCCCCAGGTTGATTCCCAAAACTTTTTCATGGCTTCTGGTGTGGGGACCTTATTTTCTTGCAGGGTTTCAATCTCGTGATCTTCAGACTCTAAATTCTTATAAAAGCTCCTTTCACTCCTGCTAAACTGACTATTATGTTGACGTCTTGTGTTGCTTTCCTTATACCATCGGAGTTTTTTAGCCATAGCCTTGAGTTTTTGTTTAAGGTGATCCAGTATTTCTGTTGCTGTTGGATTTTCGAGGCTTTGTTCCCTTTCAAGAATGGCTTTGGCTTTCTTAGTGACTGAGCTGCTGGGGTTCAAGCTTTGATTTTGTGTCAGAATTCCTATGTCCCGCCTGATACTATCGATTTTATTAGTAATTCGGCGGTGCCATGCTGGCGTGACTGGGACATTTTTAACTTGAGTGTCCGTGGAGATTTTCTGTTTGTTTAGTGTTAGCACCGCTGCTGCTCTACTATAAATAAGGCTGTGTAGATTTTCGATGGGTATACCAGTTGTTATTTTGGAATCCAGAATTTTGTTGATTTCACCCAATATAGATTTTGCCTTGTTATTATAAATTATTTTGGGAAGTCTAGGTTTCATCATAGGGTCCATTCCATCATAAAGCAAATGAACCCTTTCGAATTCCAGCTCAGCAGCAGATGGTGGTCTGTTGGCTTCCGGTACTGAGGCCGCTGGTTCATCGTCAGCAGGTAAATTTATAGATAGTTCTATCGCAACTTCGCGCTTTATTTGTGTAACAATACCTGGTGTTAGGCGTCTATTTATAAATATAGATCTTCGCTGGTCTATGATATTTTGTATAGTCTTGTGACGAAGCATTGGAAATTTTTCAATTACCAGTCTATGTAGTTCTCGGCTGTATGGAGTTTTGGCGGTTTCTAGTCGGGTTAATCTGTAATAGCAGCGAACCATGAATGCATTGATGTCTTCTGTCCACATGGTTCTTTGCCTAACTGTGCCTTGTGACGTGGTGGGCATGGGCTCTGATGGCCCAGCAACACCGACATCTTGGCTTGGTACGTTTGGTGGTGGTGGTGTATTCGACTGGGTTGGTAATCTGGTTGGTCCTTGTTCATTGCCGCGGTAGGTTGCAGGTAAATCTTCAAGACGGTTCCGACCCGGCTTCTGCTGCGCCGGCCCGCCTGAGTCTCTCTTATTTCTCGTTTTAAGAGCATTTAAATATACACGTTCTAGGGGGTGCTAACCCATAGAGCGGTGGTACTAGTTTTTGTCCATCCCGGGTATTTTATTTCCCCGGTACCCTCCATATCTGGAGAGCGTTTCCCAATTCGCACAGGGAGGCGCCCGATGGGAGACTAGCAACTCCACACGGGTATTATTATTATTATTATTATTATTATTATTATTATTATTATTATTATTATTATTAATTATTATTATTATTATTATTATTATTTATTATTATTATTATTATTATTATTATTATTATTATTATTTCTCCCTTCGCATTCCCTTTCCTCGGAAAGAGATCACTTTTCCTACGGAGAGCAAACCATACTCCTAGTCTATTATTATTATTATTATTCCGGTATCTCACAGACTCCCACGGTTGCTGCACTCGCGTTAGGGAATTAATTCGCTTTATACCATTGCGAAAAATGCCTTTTCAATATGGCAGGTCAGTAATAAGGATGCCTTTTGCATGCTATTAATAACGTTGTCAAATCTAATTAATTTATTTAAGTAGAGAGTCTATTTAAAACCACCCTTTCATAGATACTACCCACGGTATGATTTTTATTTCTTGTTGTTTCCAGGCACATTTTAATTGAATAGCTAAATTCCTGTATTGATCATATGATGATATTCTATTGCGGCAAGATTAAACATCAACGAGATAGCTATATCTATACTAAGTGACATATAAATCCGAACACCCAGTTTAAATGGTTTTATTTTAATGAAATTTTGTATAAGTACTTAATGAAGCATAATAAGTAAATGATGAAAATTTCAAAATGATTGCACTGCTTTAAAGCCCTTTGACCTTTAATAATGTGTGGATGCACCCTGATGTGCTACGCATTCTCCAACGCGCCTAGGCATGCTTCTGATCAGGTGGTCAATGTCCTCCTGTGGTATCTCATTCCAGGCAACCACCAACTCCTCTCGAAGTGCTTCTAGAGTCTGAGGAGGACGTTGCAAATTGAGCAATCTCCTACCCATCATATCCCACACGTGCTCAATTGGGGATAAGTCGGGAGATCTTGGTGGCCATGGTAACAATGTGACATCATTATGTTGAAAGAAGTCTATTGTGACTCTTGCAACACGTGGTCGGGCATTATCTTGTTGGAAAGTTGGATCTGCCAGGGTGTCAAGATAGGGTAAAAGAAGGGGTTCTAGAACTTCGTGGATATAACGCTGCGCGTTCATGTTACCTCTGATGAAGATTAAAGGTGACCTGGTGCCATAAGCTATAGCACCCCAAACCATAACTCCAACGAATGAGAAGTTTTGGCTTGTTTTCATACCGGCCACACTGGGTCCTCCCTTTAACTCGAGAACACCGACGTAATCGCCTTGAGTGGTGCAGACAACGGTCACTCTGGGATCAGGAATGGAACAGTATTGTCTTTAGTGACGAATCTCGATTTTGTTTAGGCATGCACGATGGTCGTGCCAGGGTTAGAAGGCGACGTGGTGAAAGGAGGAATCCACAGTTTTTTGTTGAAAGACATGTTCATCACACTGTTGGAGTTATGGTTTGTGGTGCTATAGCTTATGGTTCCAGGTCACCTTTAATCTTCATCAGAGGTAACATGAACGCGCAACGTTATATCCACGAAGTTCTAGAACCCCATCTTTTACCCTATCTTGAAACCCTGGCAGATCCAACTTTCCAACAAGATAATGCCCGACCACATGTTGCAAGAGTCACAATAGACTTCTTTCAACATAATGATGTCACATTGTTACCATGGCCACCAAGATCTCCCGACTTATCCCCAATTAAGCACGTGTGGGATATGATGGGTAGGAGATTGCTCAATTTGCAACGTCCTCCTCAGACTCTAGAAGCACTTCGAGAGCAGTTGGTGGTTGCCTGGAATGAGATACCACAGGAGGACATTGACGACCTGATCAGAAGCATGCCTAGGCGCGTTGGAGAATGCGTAGCACATCAGGGTGCATCCACACATTATTAAAGGTCACAGGGCTTTAAAGCAGTGCAATCATTTTGAAATTTTTATCATTTACTTATTATGCTTCATTAAGTACTTATACAAAGTTTTATTAAAATAAAACCATTTGAACTGGCTGTTCTGATTTATATGTCACTTAGTATACAACGTAGCCTTATTGATGTTTTTGTCTACCAGCACTATATCTGGCCTGTTAAAATCTACGCATTTGTTTAAGATAATTGGAGTGATTATTGCTGTGTCTAGTGTTCTAAAGTCCCGAAAACTGCAGTTGTCCTCTGAAGAAGTCGAACAGCTATTTGTCGAAGTGAAATTTTGCAAGAAAACCATCATTTTTGGAGCTGTCTATGTTCCACTAAATTCTTCATCAGTTAAATATGACATCCATTGTTTATCTCTTCTTGAAATTTCTGAAATTTGTCCGGAGGTAACTCGGAATAATGATGATGATTATTTTGTCCATTGCCCTGAGAATTCAGCGGCACGTAGATTGGCAGAAACATTCTCAATATATCACAACTCAATAATGTTCCGAATGAGCGTAATGTGTTTCTAGATTTACTGTTTTCTAGTTTGGTTTATATCAATGTGTTACCAGCTTATGATATTTTACTGCCAGAGAGCCTATACCTTTACAATTTTAGCAAAGTGTAGTCAATCTGATTTTGATGATAGCGGATAAAATTCCTGTTACCCTAAATGGTTCAGCCCTGAACTTAAAGATCTAGTCTGTCGAACAAGATCGCCCATAAGATTTTTATAGAAACAATCCAATATGAGGACTATGTGACTTTCTCAGGGTTACGCTCTTTATGTAAAGAAGAACATAAGCGATGTCATGCAATTCATATTGATCGAGTTCAGGAATCATTGGTAGCCGATCCACAGCGCTTTTGGGGTTACGTAAAGAGTTTAAGAAATTTAAGTAGCTTACCTAATAGTATGCACTTAGAGGGAGTTAGAGTGCAAGATGCCAAGACAATAAGTAATTTGTTTGCAAAGCACTTTAGCGGTGTATATGATCGTTCTGTACATCCTGTAACCTCTTTTTTATTTGAGAAGACAGGACTACTAAACAAAATTTCTCTTGGAGAAGTATGTGATAAAATCGTAAGTCTCCCAGTGAGGTTCAGCTCGGGTCCTGACCAAATTCTAGAGGTTTTTGTCAAACAATGTATCTTTACACTTACTTTTCCTGACACTTGGAAGCAGAGTTATATTAAGCCAATTTTTAAGTCAGAAGATGTTGAAGATATTAGCAATTACAGAGGTGTATGTACCCAATCATCAATTCCGAAACTTTTTGATAGCTTGATATATGATCAACTTAACTGGTATTGCCGTGATCTTGTAAGTAGCAATTTGGGTTTACTAAGGGTAGATCAACTATGGAGAATTTGGTGTCTTATAAAGTTGAAAGGGTCACCTGGTGGATGCAATCTACACAGGCTTTTCCAAAGCCTTCGACAGAGTGAACTTCGAGATTCTGTTGGCAAAGCTGTCAGCTTATGGTTTTTCAGAAAACACAATAAGATGGTTGGAGAAATTGCTTAAGGGTAGGACCCAATCTGTTAAAATTAGTGGACATCTGTCTTCGATATTCAAGGTTACATCAGGGGTTCCTTAGGGGTCCCATTGTGCTCCTCTTTCCTTCATTTTGTTTGTGAATGACATCCCTGATGTTCTTATTCATTCCAAAGGAACTATGTTTGCTGATGACCTGTAGGACAGTAACGGAGAAAGATGACATGGTGGACCTTCAGCGGGACCTTGATGCGCTGTGGCAGTGGACACAGCTTAATCACTTGTATCTGAACTCTAATAAATGCTTTTTCATAAGTTTTTTCAAAACTAAGAATAGATTTTCAACTGGCTATAGATTAAATAATGATACGCTCTCTTATAAGGTTACCGCTAGGGATCTTGGAGTGCTTTTTGATGAAAGGCTTAACTTTTCAGACCATGTCCTCAAAGTTAGTATAAAGGGCATACAGATGCTGGGCTTTGTTTGGAGAAACTGTAAGTGTTTTTCAATCAATACCATCCGAATTTTATATTGCTCCTTGGTAAGATCAAATTTAGAATATGCCACAGTAGTATGGTCCCCTCAGTACCAGTGTTATAAAGATGACTTAGAGCGTGTCCAGTATAAATTTTTACGGCTTACAGCATTAAAGAGGAACTTAAACATGACAAGATTTTATTGGGGATCACCGATTGCGAAACTTGGTTAACATTAATCAATCTTAATGTACCCCGTAGATTGCGTAATAGTAGTCTGCTTGCGATTAAGTTCCATCCCACAACCTATGGTCAGCACTCTCCACTCGATAGATCATTTCGTGATATCAATTTAGCTCAGTCTAATATTGACATTTTTTCCTGTACACTCTCAGGCTTTAAAAATTATCTTTT